CCTCCTAGGTCGACTGACCAGAACCTTGGACAATGATGTTGGACCCAAAACCTCCACATAATCACCTTTGTTTGAGAGAGCCATTGGTTGGGATAGCTTGCCACCTGAAGCTGGAACACAAGAACAGTAGGGGTGGCAGTGAGAAGTGAGTTACGATAATGATAAAAGCAAGAAAAAAATTCTGGGTTTGACAAGGGAGTGGAGTTAAAGAGATTTGTGAACTGGTTTTGTGGAAAGAACCCCGTAATCTGGATCTACCAAACGGACGTCTTCCAACAATTCTACACTTCCCCATGCTTCTCTTTCTGAAAAGAGAACCTTGGATTTGTTGTGAGCTATCTCCTAAGTGTCCATCTCTGATTCTATCCTGTAAGTGCTCATGTCTTCATCTGACTCTGACTCTGATTCTTCTTCTCCAGAAGAGCTTGGGTTCGAGTTCTGCAACCATGTTGGGGGTCGGTAGATTTCCTTTTTGTGAGTAATTGGACTTGGGTGAGTTGCAGGAATATTTAGCTCGATGAAAGTTGATGTCGAAGGACAATCTCCCTGGTCCGATGGTGAGGGACAGCCCGATGGTTTGATGGGTTGCTTGACCGGGTCGGGTTCGGGTAATCGGTAAGGCTTCGCAGTGCCTGGGTCCGAAAGAATGAACTCTGAAATGGGCTTTAGACCAAAAGTCTCGGTTTCCTTTAAATTTTGATTTTTTTTTTTCCATTTAGAGTTCTTGGCAAAAAGCATCTATCCTCTTCCTTTATAATTACCTAGCATGGAAAGATTATGTTTCTTCCTTGCTTTATACGCCTCTGCAAAGGCCGCCACCTTCTTGCCATCCTTAGCATGTAAGCTTACTGCGCCGACCACTGGCTTAGCTGTGGCTACATTGATTATCCCGAGTTCGCGAGTCGAAGTTCCGAGTTAACTCGGCAGTTGGAGAAGAAGCCTCTGTTTTTTTTCTCTACTTCGATCATGGTGAAAAACCACACGTTTCTGTCAAGGATTGGTATCGATCAGGGTATGGAATGAACTCCTCTGTCTTTCACCTTCAAACAAGCGCAACTCAGCTCTAACTAGTCTTTGGTTTTGAGGTCAATCTCTTCCAACCCTCCACATGAACTCCTCTGTCTTTCACCTCATCCGACCACAAATGAAACAGGAGGCCATGAACTAGAATCCTGCCATCAAAATTTAATCTAGAAGGGACTGAGTTAACAGTCGGCCACCATCGATCGATCTTCACCCACCTGCCATAGACGAGAATCTTCTCCAACCTCACCCAAGCGGAAACTAGATCTTCAAATGAAGCAAAACCCACTGCTATATTACTGGAGAAGGGGTGGAGATGTAGGAGTTCTGGGGAATGAAGATTAGTTGTAATTCCTAGCTCAACCTCGTTCCAAGTTAGGTCATCAGTTTTGGAGCACACAAACCATTTGTTGAAAGGTCTTGGTTGATTGGCTATGGATATGTGGGCTGAACCGCCGGCCTTAACGACTCTGCCCATTGTCAATAAGGATGGGAAGTCTCCTTTTACAGGAACTTCAGAGGTTGGCAAACCAGGATTTGGGAGAGATAGGTTTAACACTTCAGCGAACGATTTCCACCCTGATTTTCTTGCTTCTTCAGGGATGCATATGGTTCTGAGCTTCTAAGCAAGCTCACAGCAGCTTAAGCGGATGAACCTACCCCCCATACGTTTTCGTTTAGTTGAAGAAGAAGCACCTTCCCTCTGCACGCATGCTTACGATCTTTTACCATAGACTTTTGATCTTTGATCGCCTCTCGAAGGAAATCTTCTAACCATTTTGCCTCTTCTACTGACAAAGAGATTTTCGACCAAGCACCTCTACCTCTCTCAGTCATGGCCAGACTACCATCGAGTTTATGGAGTGTTGATTCGAATTCAAAAGTTTTAGATCCTATTGCTACTAAACGGCGCATGGTTTGGTGCTGGTGTTAACAGTCGCCGGAGTTAAGAAATATCTTCATCATCGCTGTTAAGTTTTCAGAAGCATTTGCAAGGAAGGATGCATTAATTTTGACATCTGTGATGAAGGCCTTTTTTTTATATAGTGACAATATGAAATAAATTGAAATAAAAAATTCAAAAGAAGAATATATATATATATATATAGAGTGCATTCAATAAATGATTTGGTCTTTTTATAGAATCCATCAAATATTAGCCCCATTTACATTTCCCTTGTTAAATGTTAACTAACAAAAGCTTTGCTTTAATTTATGGTTAAAAATTACACATGATAACTTATCAACCATAACTCATAAAAAGTAAAAAGAAACTCTTGTATGAATTCAATCTCAAGGGTTAATTAACAAACCAAATTGAAACAAAACAACATTAGGACAAAAAGGGTTAGAAATACATACCTATAATGCCTTTTATGGTTTCCTCATCCCCATCTTAAAACGCAAAAATCCCCCCACTTTTCAACCACCCATGTTGCTCTTTGAATTTAATTCAAGACTAAAAAAGAAAATCAAACTATATAGGTCAAAACCTTTTACCAAACTACCAATATTAAACATATGTAGTGAAAAAACATTAAACTCTACGAGTTGGCATCAAGCTATTGAAATAGCAAACCTATTTTGCAGTTAGAGCTTGTTTTAGATAATCTAAAGTGAATTCAACAGTAGAACCATGGTAGTAATTCAATGGCTGTTTGAGTTTACTTAAGGCAGTTGACATCAAGCTATTTAAATAGGGGAGACATGATTTTATTATCCACATTATTAGAAAAAAAAAAAAACGAATCATTAACAATTTTTTCAAAAGATAAAATGGTTTTCTTATCAAGCTGTTTGAAAAAATAAATAATGATGGAACCATGATTTTTTTTCGAGTTGTTTGAGTTCACTCAAGGTAGTTGACATCAAGCTATTTAAATAGGGGAAAAAATGAATTGTGGTTTTATTATCAAACTAGGAGTTGTTTGTAGACTTAAGTTTATATGCGGGATGTTCTAGATGTTCTAGATGTTCTAGATGTTCTTCCTTTCCCTTTCATACCTAAAACAATGAATCCTCTGAACAATTTATATGCAGGATGTTCTAGACGTTCTTCCTTTTCCTCTCTAAAAGTTCTATCCAGACACCATCCTATAGACATCTTTCTTTTTTTTATTTTTTATTTTTTTGTAAAAGGTAATGTAAATTTATTCAAACCAAACTCAATTACAGACTGAAATCAGACCCAGGAAGGCAGTCTGAAAACAGCCAGAATTACAACCTCCACCAGGAGCAAGACTGAAAAAAATAAGACAAGTTAAGATTTCTGAACTCCTCAGTAGTAGAAATCCAAGAAATCAACTTGCCCACTGCTCTCTGAATTACATTATCAGGACCTTTAGCTCTATTACAAAAAATTCTACTATTCCTTTCTGCCCAAATGGACCACAAGACAGCAGCAGGGATTGTCTTCCACATCAAATTCCCTTTCTTACTTAGGCTTTTTGTTTTCCAGCTGCAGAGATGCTCCTTAACCGACATAGGCATGACCCAACTGACACCCATTGATTTGAGAAAATGCATCCAAACCTGAGAGGAGAACAGACAGTGAAGACACAGATGATCTGTAGTTTCTGTAGCAGACCTACAAAGACCACAAGATAAATCCAAAATTTGAATAACCCGCCTCACAAGATTGGATCTGGAAAGGCATTTGTCAAGGACCATCGTCCAAACCAGAAAATTGGACTTAGAAGGACTTGTAGGATTCCAAATCTGTGTAGCTGGGAATTCAGTAGGCCCCAAACTGCATAACTTAGAAGCCAGGGATTTCACAGAGAATACACCATCCGGATTCCATTTCACAGAGAATACATCATCCTATAGACATCTTTCACCAAATTATAATCAATTATTCAATAAAATGAAAACAAAATAATTAAAATTTTTACGATTCTAAACTGTAAAAGCTAGCACAACGATAAATAAAAAAAAAAAAAATTAACCTTCCCACCACAAAACATTTAGAAGGTTTTTCTACCAGATGAACATCAACATGCAAAACAAAAGAGAATAAAAAATCAATAGTGAACTGTCATTGTTAATTCCTATTTCAAACTCACAGAGAATCCTTCACTCCCCCTCTACATTCTTCTCCCCTTGTCCATGCAGGTTCAAAGCTTATGGGGCTCCCTCCTACTTTGATTTTTTATTCCCAGGACAAAGGAGAAAATTTTGAGAGAGAGACTTTCGGCACCATCGCTGCATTATTGCTGGCTCAGTTGGCTGGGTTGGGGAGAGAAAGAAATGGGATGGATGGATAAAGCACAAAGGCAAGCAGAACATCATTGCACCATTGCACCTGTAATCACACAAAAAGAAATTTTCATAAAAATGTCCTTGAACTTTCAGCTATCAAAGAAAAAACAGAGAGTTTGTGATTACAAAAGAAAAAATAAGAAGTGAACACCTAGTGTGATGAGGTATGTTTAAGTAAAGGGAAAAATTGTCCTTTTCTTTAAACCGTCCAAGATAACGGTGAAGAGGTATGTTTAAGTCCTGAAAAACTCGGGGTATGTTTAAGTCCATTAGTGAAAACTCCGGGCATGTTTAAGTCGATTAATGAAAACTAAGGGTATGTTTAAGTCTTTTACCCTATTTATATTGATTTGTATACAATCCTGTATAGTTGTGAATTCTACAAAAGGTCAGTGTTTATGTATAAAAGATGCATAATAATTACAAAATCTATTAGACTTGATTTGATTGCTGAACTTATAACAACCTACATTGTTATACACCTCCTTTGACATGAGGAAAACCGAGTTACTGGTTTAACTCTCAAAATCTCCGGATATCCAAATTCGAAGCACTTAACATGCATACCCAAGACATGTCAATAAATTACTCAATGTAGTGTTCATGCCTGCAAAATCAAAGCTGAGACAGATATCAATGTCAAACTTCATTTACTGCCTCTCTACTTTGGTTGTCTGTGTTTTCACTGCAACCATTTTTCTGCCTCTCTACTTTGGTTGTCTGTGTTTTCATTGCAACCATTTTTCTGCCTCTCTACTTTGGTTGTCTGTGTTACTAATGGACAGGCCAAGACCTTATAAAGAGATTTCTCCAGCCACAGAAGTATCAAGGGCAACCAGTATATTTTTCACCAAAGATAAGCCAAATGATCCAGGCAGCATGCTTAACATCGAGGACAAAGGTTGTGAAGTACAACTTCTGAATGAGCTACTACCTCAAGCCCAGATGTCCACACTTGCTGGTCTTTGTCTGCTGGCTTTGAAAAAGATTGGATCAAACCCATGTCTTAGGTTTAAATGACCAGTATATTGGCTTGACCAGAGTGAGTGAATGACCTTTTATCTTTATGGGATTGGCAGTCAATACATCCATCAAGACAATTAGAACGCTAATTTTACTAAGGCTGATAGATCATCAACTGAAAGTAAGCCTTCCAACTTAATCAATTCACCAGTAGTCACCACATGAGCAAACCCCATCCTTGAAGTGATGGAAGCGCTTTATATCCCTTACAACAATCTCTCTGTCCACAATCTTGGAGATGAACTTTGTGGCCTCATGGCAATCCCTACACACCCTAAGATTTTTTGTTATCAGCAGTCTAGTCCCTGGTCCTGTGTTTAAAAGCCCAAAAGCAATTGCCAGTCTCTCACTATGATTACACAACATCCTCTCCTTCACTTGCTCATCAAGGTCATGTAATACATACTCTGTCCTTGGAACATAACCCATTGCTCTCATCTCATATTCCAACCTATCTAACATTGCTGCAATCATATGATGCTGGGGGTGGCTCTTATCCTCCATTAGAAATGCATGAAGCTTCCCTCTTACTTCAACTACACTGTAACCAGGTACCTTCTTCATCCCTGTCTCCTTCATTACCTTTCTCACCAAAGCTACTTCATCCCACTTTCTTGCCAAAGCAAAAACATTTGAAACCAAAGCATATATTCCAGGGTCATTTGGTTTTAACTCGAAAACCTTCTTTGCCACCTTTTCTCCGAGCTCCAACTTTCCATGGTTACGGCAGCCCGCAAGGAGGGCAACCCAAACTGCAATTCCTGGTTCATCCTCCATAGATCCTATCAGTTTGTGTGCTTCTTCAACCAAACCTGCACGAGCTAAAAGATCAACCATACAAGCAAAATGTTTCTCGCTGGGCTGGATTCCAAAATCGCTATGCATTATACCAAACCAATATCGTCCTTCTTCAACCAAACCAGAATGACTTAAGGCTGATAGAAGAGAAGCAAACGTGGCATGGTCTGGTCTTTGACTCATCAACTTCATCTGGAGGAAGAGAGAAAGAGCTTCCTTTCCATGCCCATGGATTCCATAGCTAGCAATCATTGCATTCCAAGATATTGAATCCCTATAACTTATCCTATCAAAGAGAATACGTGCACTAGAAAGTGACCCACATTTTGAGTACATGTCAATCACTGCAGTACCCGAGACTCGATCAAACTCAACCCTCCTAACAATATATCCATGTATGGATTTTCCCAATTTTAGAAAACCAATCTGAGAACAAGCCAGGAGAGCACTAACAAGTGACACCAAATCTGGTTTAAATCCATAACTCTGCATCTCGATCAACAATTCAAGTGCGTTCCCAGCAAACCCATTTTGAGCAAAGCCAGACATCAAAGCACTCCAGGAAACCACATTTCTGTAAGACATCTTCTCAAAGACACGAGACGCAAGATTCAAGAGCCCCTTCTTTGCGTACATGTCCACAAGGCTGGTTTCAACTACAACATCCATTGGAAGATGTTGGCGGATCATATACCCATGAACAGAAATACCCAGTTTCATATCCCCGAGATTTGTGCAAGCTTGAATTAGACCCACCATCAGAACTGCATCTCCTTTGATTTCTTCTATCTGCATCCGACGAAAAACCTCCACTGCTTCGACTGGCTGGCCACTCTGAGCAAAACCCGTAATCATTGTAGTCCAAGAGACAAGATCCCTCTTTGTCATTCCATTGAAGATCCCCAATGCTTCATCCATCTTCCCACACTTGGCGTACAAATTCAGAATAGAAGACCCAACAAAAATATCATCCTTATACCCAAAATCAATAGCTTGTGATCGAATCTTTTCGCCAGCTTTCAAATCCAACAAACTAGAACATGCCTTGAGAGTGACCGTGAAGGTTGAACTATCGGGTCTGACACCTTCCAGAATCATCCTCCGGTAGAGATTTTGTACTTCATTTGGTGAGTCATTCCTAGAGTAGGCAATGATCATGGCATTCCAAGTGACTACTCCTCTTTGAGGCGATTCTTCGAACACCCTGCGAGCTGATGTAACATCACCAATCCGCGCATACGAGGCTATTAGTTGGCCGTTCGAATCTCCGTTGCTGAACACTCCAGTGAAAATCATAAGGGCATGGATTTGGGATATGGATTTTGCGTCTTTGCAGGCTGACAAAAGCTGTTTCGGCCATGGATAAAGAACGCCCGTACGTGAAACGATATTCCCCGCGCTCTTGTACATACTACATATGCATCGCCAAAATTCAATCTAACCGAAGGTGGGAAACTGGGAACCCTTTCTGTTTCTTACCTTTCTATAACGCCCTGTTTGGCGTACAGCAAACGGGGTTTTTCGAGAAGCCACTTCTACATTTGGGTTGAGCTGCTATAGAGAAGCCGCTCATGTTGAGCATGGGAGTTCTTGATAAGCTACTTATAACTTCATGTTTTACTCCCCGTTGTCACAAATGGTTCCTTCACGGCATCATCAAGCACCTTCCACCGCTTTCATCATGCCTTGAGAGTGTCATCATGCATGTCATAGTTGTGGTATGTATGTATTTTGTACCGGGGGAATGTCAATGGTATTATTATAATTATCTAATATGATTTGTCACCATTTTGATTTTTCCTTTTGTCACTCCCTTTAAAAGTTTAACTTGCTCTTTGAGGAGAAGTAGATAGTTGAATGATGCCAAGATCGTGTAAAGGTTATGTACGAGGTCACCTCGAAACAAACTTGTGTGTTTGTACTTGCCATGTTAATGCAATATAAATTGCTTTTCAATTAATTTGTGTGCCTTCTTTATTGCATTTTGTGTCTTGTTGCTTGTCATAGGCTTACTCGACCCAATCGAGCATCGCACGGGATCTTGTCGTCAAGCCCCATGATAGTTGATAGCAGAGCTGGTTGCTCTTCTGACACATCACGACCCTTGCACAGTGGCACTAGTGGTGGCACAATGAAGCACAACCGGGAAATCACAAACGAGATACAACCTAGGCTTACCCATGCCCAGGAGACCAATGAAGCACTAGACGATGAAGCCATCATAGAGAAGGCCCCGAAGGGCTATACATCCAAATCGAGCAAGCGTGAAAAGTAGGTTGACAAGCTTGTCGCCTTTGACACATGCATCCTTCATTGCAAGGTAGCAGTTAGGGAGATGCATAATCGAGTGGAAGATATCCATCTCAATGTTGAAGCCATTGAGATCTCCATGGTGGAGATAGAAGCCCACTTGAGTGGCATCTTGAATGAGGTCTAAGATGTCCTAAATGGCACTCTCAAGGAAGTCCTTATCACATCATCCCGACAAGAAGGGAGCTCCTCCCAATCCAGCAAACAAGACCCGATCGACAAGATGAAAGTCGAGTGGTCAACATGGAAGAGAGCCATGCCTACACCTATAATTGTTCAAGCACACTTAGAAGAACTCAAGAGAGAATGGATGGCCATGAAAGTTGCCATGGCCGCCCCTGCTAACATCCAAGCACAACTAGACAGCATGAGAGGGGATAAGACCCTTCTGAAGAGAGCAATGGCCAACACACCTAGCCACTACTCGCATGAAGATTCAGAAGCCCACATCTTATGTCAGATCCCAAGATGCTCGAGAACTTGACAACTTCTTATGGAAAATGGAGCAACATTGCCTTATAGCTAGCATTGATGATGACACAACTCAGGTTCATACTACAACCATGTATTTGACTAACATTGCTACACTATGGTGGCATAGGTGATGCCCTCCTCTCGATCTAGCATACAAGACCCAATCAACGAGATGAAAATCGAGTGGTCAACATGAAAGAGAGCCATGCCTACGCCTACAGTTGTTCAACCACACTTAAAAGAAATCAAGAGAGATTGGATGGTCATGAAAGTTGTCATGGCCGCCCCTGCTAACATCTAAGCACAACTAGACGACATGAGAGGGGATATGACCTTTCAGAAGAGAGCAATGCCCAACACTCCTAGCCCCTGCTCGTGTGAAGATTCAGGAGCCCACATCTTATGCCAGCTCCCGAGATGCTCAAGAACTTGACAACTTCTTATGGCAAATGGAGTAGCATTGCCTTATAGCTAGCATTGATGATGGCACAATTCAGGTTCATAGTACAACCATGTATTTGACTAACATTGCTATACTATGGTGGCGTAGGTGATGCCAAGACATTGAATGAGGAACATGCACCATTAACACATGGGTTGATTTCAAGCGAGAACTGAAGTGACAATTCTATCCAAAGAACATGGAGTACTTAGCCCGAAAAAAGTTGAAACAACTTAAGCACGATGACTCAATTCATGAATATGTCACAGAGTTTTCATCCCTTACCCTAGAGATTACGGACATGTCCGACAAGGATTTATTGTTCAACTTCATGGATGGATTGAAGCCATGGTCCGAGTTGGAGCTCCAATGCCACAATGTGCAGGATCTTGCCACATCAATGGCAGTGGTAAAGCAACTCTAAGATGAGCTTGTCAGATAAAGAAGCCTCAAAGCCGATCAGCCCACGTACCCTAAACTTGAGTGGATATATGAGCAAATCAATTACACCCTCCTCATGACAACTCCAACTTCAACTAGCCAGTAAGACAGGACTATGGGAAGAAGCCACAAGAAGAACAAGGTCACCAACACAACTACAAGCCAAGATGCAATGGAACCCGGCGCTTTTGCTTTATCTGTGGGGAGAAGCATTGGATTCGTGATTGTCTTACAAAGAAGAAGATTAATGCCCTTATTGTCAAGCTCAATGATGATGAGCAAAGTGATGAGGAAAAGTCTGTACAGGCATCAAGAGTGGGCGCCTTACAACTTTTCAATGCTATGGTGAAGAAATGGGTCAATCCTAAATGGCCAAGAAAGCCCAAAAGGGGCTGAAGTATGTAAACAATCTCTTTCTCTTTGGTGGGAAGCCAACTTGGGCCCTAGTTGATACAAGGGCATCCCACAACTTCATTTTGTCGCTAAAGCCAGGTGACTTAACCTGGATATTACCAAGGAGACTGGGTGGCTCAAGGCCATGAACTCTAGTGCCAATGAGACGTGGGGTTGATCTCCAAGTTGGGCCTTAGACAAGAAATTGACTTATTCATGGTACCCATAGACGACTTCCATATTGTTTTGGAATGGCTTTCTTGATGCAAGTAGAAGCAACACTCATGCCTCACAACGCATTATGCATATTGGACGAGCACTCCCCTTGTATGGTACATGTCATGACTTCCACTAGAGTCCACGAGAAGCAAGTATCAGTGCTACAACTTTTCCATGTTGAAGACCTATTCGAAGCCAACAACAATAATACAGCAAAGAAGACCTCCACGCTCCCTGCCAAAGCAATCACTTCGAAGCCTAACCTCGACGCTAGCATGAAGCAACAATCCATCAAGCCATCTTCAGCATTCCAGTAGCAACGGTCGTTGTGCCTGCCATCAACTGTCAAGCAAAGTAGAAGACCCAAGGTAATCTCCAACTATAGCCGCACCTACTACCACAACCACCAAGGAGAGTGAGTGCCACTCAATCCACATAGAAACCACTTTTGCACCTTTCGTCAAGCCAAACCATGTAGTAGCCTTGTGAGTAGCCATCCTTGGATAAAAATGCATGGGAACAAATCCCCTAACAATTCAAAACATCAATTTGACCATAACCTAGCCCAAACCTTACCTACAACTAAGTCAAATCATCCAATGTCATACCTTGAAGCAGCTAGGAAATAACATAGCCAAAGGTTTAGCCATAGGATTCCCCAACCTAGCAAGCCACTTCAACCCTACCACCCAAGTGTACATCCAAGCCTTGGACAACAACATATTCATGGAATAGCTAAAGAATCCTCCTTCCATTCCAGCAGCTCCAAGAGTTCAATTGATCTTTGAGGACATAGATCAAATTGAGTCGGGAGACTGTCACAAGTGACTCCTCCACCATGTCATCAAGCACCTTCCATCGTGCCCTCAGTATGCCTTCAGAGTGTCATCATGTGTGTCACGGATGGGCTATGTTTGTATTTTGTATAGAGGGAATGCTAATGGCATTATTGAAATTATTCAGTATGATCTTTCACCATTTTGATGCTTCCTTCTGTCACTCCCCCAAAAGCTTAACATACTCTTTGAGGGGAGGTAGGTAGTTGAGTGGTGCCAAGACCGGATAAAGTATAAGCACGAAGTCCCTCAACACAAACTTGTGTGCTTGTGCTTGTGCTTGTCATCTTAATGCAATATAAAGTGCCTTTTGACTAATACATGTGCTTTCTTTGTTGCCTTTTGTGTGTTGTTGCTTTCTTTCGTAGGCTTACATGACCCAATTGAGCACCGCATAGAGCCTCGTTGATAAGCCTCGTGACACATTTGGGAGAACTTTTTAGGTAGTGGCTTTTAGCTTTTTGTGGTGGGCCCTAACAAAAAGCACATACGTTATGTTTGGTGCATATATGGAATGCCTACATTAACGTCTAAAACACCAGTTGAATGATTAAAACATGAAACTACTATTAATTAGGGGTGAGTAAATGGGTAGGTTCAACCCCGAACCGAATAGAATTGATCTCATACCTGCCATGAACCGACCCTACCCAATTTATTATTTGGTAGGTTGTGGTTCAAAATTTTTAGAACTAACCCCCACCCAGGCTAGTTCCAAGGTCTAGGGATTTATCCTATTCAAATCGACCTGGAGAATTGGCCTTAGTTGGCCTTAGTGGAACCAATCTTGGAACCAAACTTGCATAGAAATAAATCCTAGAACACTTTGAGGATGTAAAAATTTGAACTCAAGCAATCATGGTTACAAAGGCCATGATCTCACTTTACAATTAAGTCACTTAAGTGATTTGATCTTTTTTCTTCACTTTAATATTTGAATTTGTATAATAAGTAATACAAAAGGTAATGTTTACAAAATTTAAATTATAATGATAAAATTTGAACCATATATTAATATATTATGATAATTTATATATTAAATTACTCAATTTAATTATAAAGATAATATAAGTTGATTTTTTCAACTATATATTATAAATTTATAATTATTGAAAATCAAGATTTTAAAGAAATTTTTCCATTTTCTTTTTTTTGGCGGAGGGGGGGGAAGTAAAGAAAGAACATATTTCACAGGTAGACTCTAGAACCAACCCCAAAAGCACTAAGGCCAAAATTGATCTTGAAACCGACCTTCATAGGGTATATTGCAGTTCCAAAAACTTGAAAATTACCCATCTGCCTTTGATCCGAACCAAATCGACCCATGCTCACCCCCTACTATGAATAACTTATCAAGATTCAAGAACACATGATCAACATGATAACATGAGCAGCTTTTTTGTAGCAACTCAACTCAAATGCAGAAGCCCTTCCAAGTAGGCCTTAGTCACCCAATTGGCATTTTGAACATTAATGTGGGTCTTTCATATTTTC